TTCAAAAATAAAGACCCAAATCCAGTAGTTTTGCTTGTAGTACATTGTCTAGCGAGCCAAATTACTTTGGCACACCATTGTGCCAAGGTCAAATGATTGTGGTAGGACTGTTATGGGAGTGCTGAGACTCCCCAATTTGAACCTGACAGCGTTGAACTGACAATAGCACAGATTTCAAGCTATTTTGCATAAGGGCACATATGTTGGCGCAGCATTGCGCCAAGGTGTCAAGATTACCCGTGCCTGTTGTTGCGGCTGTTGCTGTTGTTGTTGTTGTTGTTGCTGTTGTTGTTGTAGTTGTTGTTGTTTTTGTTGCTGAAGAATGTACCATGGGTGTTGCCAATACATCATCACTGGTCCATGCATAAGGTTGTGCATCTGTTGGTGCATTTGCATCATTTGAGCTCGTTCCCACATAGCACGCTGAGCTTGTGCCCATTGAGCTCGTTGCATCTCAGCCTGGTATTCCTCAGCAGCTCGGGCGCGTTGAGTTTGTTCCCAACGAGCTTGGGCAACGGAACGTGCCAATTCTTCCTCGGCTGCAGCTCGTCGCTGGTTCTCCATCTGCAAATCGCGAGGAGTTGTCTAAATTTCTAATGCTTTTGGGGGTGTGTGGACGAGTTGACCCCGCACTTTTTGGAAAGTTTGTAACCTAAGCTCACCCATTCAGCTCTGGCCATGGCTTCACGAATCATCTGCTGTTCATAGATGGCTTGTTGAAGACGACGCATTCTCCATTGTCGAACAGCCTAAAGCACGAAGTTTCATTCTTTCATCTTTAAAAATTTTGGGTACTCAGTGCTCAAATGTTAGTTAGCGCCAAGTATTTTCTCTTTCTTCCCAGTTTTGATCTAAGAACTTACTTGAGCATAAGCCATTTGTCTGGCTTGTAGAGCAAGCATTGGTGGTGGAATGTTCATGATAGGTCCTCTGAATGCAGCAATTTGAACCTGAAAACTGTATATAAAGCGTGTGATATCAGCAACCCTCAAGTTCTCGATCTGTGTTTGAAGTCACAAGAAATGCAGAGTTTGTTTGTGGAAAAGCTTTTTCAAATTCTTTCTACAAGACAGAAAAACATTTAATTCTTTTGCCTCAGAATGCAATTATTTTCACCTCCTGTGCCTCATAAGGATGCACTGGTCGTTCGTTGGTTTCGTTTTCTTTTCCCTCTTCGCTACTACTTCCACCCTCTACAACGAATTTAGCAGGAACAGCGTTCAGGATCATGACCTGAATTAGCGAAAAATTCTTTCTGAGATTAAACAGTGTAGTTGGACAAAATTTCTTTGATTCAATGTCATTTTCACAACAGAAAAGGGGTGGAAGTACAAAAATTAATGAAATTCAGTAAACATATCGTAAAACTGCTGCAGAAATGGAAATTTCCATTTGAAAAATGGTTCTACACCAATACTATGGATATCATAGATTACGTAACTCTTTTTCTCGAA